TGACTTCTGCAGATGTATGTGCCTCCAGAAACTTGCGTTCTGTGAATGAACGTCGCCTCGTGGTTCCATCCCAAAGAGGGAAGAAAACACTTTCCTGAACTCTCACGCTCAATCTGCCCAGTTGGTGGAATGAACTCACTAACTGCATCAGAACGGCAGAGTCACTCGCTGTCTTCAAGAAACCACTAAAAACTCAACTATTTAGTCTCCACTTCCCTTCCTAATCTGCAATTGCCTCTCTGGATATACCACTAACTAAACAAAAAAATAAAATAAATACTAAAAAACTAATGCTTTCCTTCTTAGACTTTGCAGACCTGAAACTTGCCTATAGCACTTATTCATTGTTGCTCTTAGTTGTGTAAATTGCTTCCTTGTCCTCATTTGTAAGTCGCTTTGGATAAAAGCGTCTGCTGAATGACTAAATGTAAATGTAAAAAATCTGAATTTTTATATGGGGTAATTTTTTTTTTTTGTTGAATTTCTTAACTTTTATATTGAACATCTGTAATTTAAGACTCAATCGGCTGAGTTTTTTCTAGACGCATTTTCAAGCATCAGATCTTTTGTGTTCTGAGTTCAGACTGCAGATATCGGGTTTGCAAAATACAGCTTTAAAATTTCAAGATGAAGAAATTCAGAACATCAAATTCAGTATCCTAACATTCAAAACCAGAAGTTCAGATGATGAAATTCAGATTGAGCAGAAAGTAGGTCAGTGGTGATCAACAGGGAAGAGTAGAAGATCACCGCAAAGTCAGACTAAGCATTTTGGCCAATCACAGAGCTGTGTGAGCTGACTGATGGCTCTGACTATCGGGGATCAGCAACTTTCAGTAGTTTGTATAATAAATATATCCATGCTTCAGTGATGTTTAATTTAATTACATCTCATTTGATAATCAAACTTATGAATGTTTTTGGTGTTTTGAGGGATAAAGAGCTGATTCTGACTCATACTGTAACCTGTGATGAGTTATTTCAGCAGACTCAGGCCTCTCACACCTTTAGCAAAGTCACATTTAAGGACTTTTCCAGCAGCATTTTCAAACTGTCCCAGCATTTAACAACTGTGCTAAATAACACATATTAGCATGCTCACACGTCTTCATCTCATTATGTAAGATGCTGACTTATTACAACATTATTTATTACAGCACAGCATATAGTGTAATATATTAAAGAAAATGTTGATTATATGTTTGCCCAAAGCCTATAATCAACAGTGAAGTGCTGCCGCTTAAATATCATCTCTTCACATCTAAGATAACACATTTCCAAATAACTGAATTACCAGTGTGTGATTTTAATGGGTGTGTGTGTGTGTGTGTGTGTGTGTGTGTGTGTGTGTGTGTGTGTGTGTGTGTGTGTGTGTGTGTGTGTGTGTGTGTGTGTGTGTGTGTGTGTGTGTGTGTCAGAGCCAGAAGCCGGGCACGTACACGCTCCGTCAGCTGTGTGCGACTCTGGGCCGTGTTCAGTTCGTCCTGCCGCACCTTTACCCTGTGGTTCAGTATGAGGTTTATTCCCAAGAGCCTCAGCTCAGCATCCAGCCGCTCACAGGTGTGTGTGTGTGTGTGTGTGTGTGTGTGTGTGTGTGTGTGTGTGTGTGTGTGTGTGTCTGTCGGTGTGTTTATGTAATGTGTGTGTATAATGTGTGTGTGCACACTCTGATTGGTGTGTGTTTGTCTGTCGGTGTGTGTGTGTTTGTGTGTCTGTGTGTGTATATGTAATGTGTGTGTGCTCTGACTGGTGTGTGTTCTGTGTCCTCAGAGTGTCTGTTAGCTGGTTTGCCGCAGCAGGTTCAGTTCTGCATCCAGACGGGTCACTACAGCGTGAAGAAGGGCGACGCTCTGCAGCTCAGCAACACTGACTCCATGCCTGTGCTGCACACACACACCTGCAGCGCGCGCATCCGCAACAGTAGCGGAGGTACACACACACACACACACACATGATAGATAAAAGCATTATTTTCCTCCTCAGCTGTTTTGTTTTCTGTGATAAATAATCGTGTGTGTGTGTGTGTGTGTGTGTGTGTGTGTGTGTGTGTTGTGTCAGATGTGGTGTGTGAAAGCGCTCTCTCCATCCAGTCCTCAGAGAAGGTGACCAGCATCTCTCTCCCGGCGACTCCGGCTTATCACACGCTGGAGTTCCAGCTGGAGGTGCTCTGCCGTATCCCAGCATGCCCTGTGGCGGCGCGCGTGGAGAGCGAGCGGCTCACCAACGGACAGATCAGCCATCGAGCGCGCAGCAGGACACGCTACAGCAGCGGCACCGCCATCATCGACCAGAAGGTCACACACACACACACACACACACACACACACACACACACACACACACACACACACACATTTTGTAAATAAACTAAATAATTGTTTTGGCAGCAAATGTAGTTTTGTGTTGACTCTCTCTCTCTCTCTCTGTGTGTGTGTGCGCGTGTGTGTGTGCGCGCGCGTTCGTGTGCGTGTGTGCGTGCGTGCGTGTGTGTGTGTGTGTATGTGTGTGTGTGCAGGTGTCTATTGACTGTCCCTGGTCGATCTACTCTACTCTGGTCTCTCTGACCTTCCACGTGCCCTTTAAAGTCAAACACTCGCTGCTCACTGCAGGACGCAGGTAATGACCCCTCTCGTGACCTCTCTTGACCCCATAGTGACCTCTCCGCTGCTGTTAATAACACGTAATCTGCTTCCTGTGTGCTTCCGTCCTGACAGGAAGTTTGTCCAGGTTTGTCTTCAGAATGTTTCCGACACTAACTTCCGTCTGACCAATCAGACGCTCACTGAGAATCAAGACACACCCTCACTGGAGCTGCTCTCGCTCAACACTAAAACACACTGCGTGAGTCACACACACACACACACACACACATATGCTCACACACAGTTAGCAGTAGTAACAGTACACTGAATTGTTCTTGATTGTTTGGATTTGTCTGATTCATTATTCGGACTCTTTACAAGAACAATCTCAAACCTTCACTTATTGAACAATGAAATAATAATAATAATATAATACTGTTTTAATTATTCTCATTACAGTATAATATTAATCAGACCTCCTAGTTTTTTACAATTTGTTTTCTGATTTTTGGCAATAAAATTGACTGATTTTGTGGTGGTAATTTCCAGAAGTTTGCAGACAATTTGCATTAAAAAATGTATATAATATATAAATATATATATATGTACAGGTGAATTGGGTAGGCTAAATTGTCCATAGTGTGTGAGTGTGTGTGTGGATGTTTCCCAGAGATGGGTTGCAGCTGGAAGGGCATCTGCTGCGTAAAAACTTGCTGCATAAGTTGGCGGTTCATTCCACTGTGGCGACCCCAGATTAATAAAGGGAATAAGCTGACAAGAAAATGAATGAATGAATGAATGAATATATATATATATCTGTTAGGTGTGCAATCTGACACAATGACATGGACACAACTCATAAAAATAAAGCTTATATAAAATAAATAAATAAAGCCAAAGGAAGGTGGTAGAACTCTAATGTTTATTCACCATCTTAATTTCTCTCAGATTTCACTCCCCTGAGCCTCTGCAGGGTGTCCGCGGGGTCTTAAAGTATTAAAAGTTGATGAATCAATTATGAGAAGATCAGGGCCTTAAAAGGTATTATAAAGTCTTGATTGTGTTTTTACGAGGTCTTACATTGTTCTAGTGTTGTCCAAAGTGTTTGCTTCCAAAACAACATACATATATTTATTTTCCTTCCAAGTTAACTTGAAGTGGTGATGAGGCCTTACAATATTCTGAGAAGGTCTTTAAAAAGTCTTAAAAGGTATTGACATTTGCTGTAAGATCTGACATGATGTACCTCATTCAGGACATGTGTTAGTGCTTCCCCTACAGTAATACACCTTAAACTCAGACCGCTGTAAAACTCTTTGACAAACATCATAACACCAGCCACACATGTAAAGCACAAGTAAAGTCCTTTAATTCAGACACGTCCACCATCCTGGAACCCATCTCCATCACTGTGAGCTGCTGTTCTGTCTCGTCTCCATTTGTTAGGTGTTTGCTCACACTTTTTAAAAGCGCCTTAAACTGCCCCCCCCCCTTTTTTTCTTTTTTCTTTTTCTTTTCTTTCTCCCCATGTTCTGTTCACTTGTTTGTTGTTGTATCTGTATTGCTTAAAAAAATAATAAATACATTATAAAAAAAGGGGGAAAAAATATAGCCGTTTAAAAGCACATAATATGCACTCACTCATGAAATGGTAATGTTTATAATGTAATTAATACACATTAAACCTATTTACCATTATTAAATGTAAAAAAAAAAAAAAAGCGCTTCAAACACAGGAATCGGCCAATTTCTTGAGTGTTATCCACTCAATTTGCGCCACAGTATGTCTACTGTCACTCACGCTTCATCTGCATCTGCCTACTGCAGCGGCTGCAGAACAGTTTTCCTCCACTTCCATGTGATGATAGGATAGTGAGGGCGCAGGTGAGATGGCATTTTTCCAGAGACTCTTATACATCACGTGCGCTGCCGATGTGATGTCTGTAAGTCTATTAACTGCAAACTGAAATCATGTAAATCTTATTTGATTCTGTGCTTTGGAATTTGATGTTTTATGAGTTTATTTAAACGCAAAATAATTGCAAAAAAATTTGAGTTTTTGTTGATTTTTGCGTTGAATTCAGCGATCGCACAATCACGAAAAACTAGAGGATCTGCTTTAAATACAGTATTAATACACAACCTCTTTCACAAAACACTGAATTTTGTACTTTATTCTTATTATTGTTGTATTTCTTAAGTCCAGCAGTGCTGTCTACATTTATATTTAACAACATGTGTGTGTGTGTGTGACTGAATGTTATTACAGTCTGTGTGTGTTAGAGCTGTTGTTGACCTGTGTGTGTGTGTGTGTGTGTGCAGGTGGTGTTCAGTCAGCAGTGTGTGTTCAGCGTGTGGGAGCTGCGGTGGAGCGATGCGCCGCCCGTCTCTCTTCAGTGTGTGTTTTCAGCTTCGTTCGCTCCTGCAGATGCTCCAGACACACACCTCAAACCCTACACACACCAGTTCAGCCTGGAGAGAGTCTCGGTAAGACACACACACACACACACACACACACACACACACACATATCTTTGCAGGTATAATGATGTGTTTAATGTATCTGATGTATTAATATTAATGTATGTCCCTGTATGTGTGTGTGTGTGTGTGTTTGTGTGTGTGTGTGTGTGTGTGTGTGTGTGTGTGTGTGTGTGTGTGTGTGTGTGTGTGTGTGTGTGTGTGTGTGTGTGTGTGTCAGACTGTGTACAGTGTGCGTGCAGACATCTCTCCGGCAGCTGGAGATGGTGAGTGTCGCTGCGGCTCCCTCTGCAGGCTGGAGGTGTCCATCACACGCCTGACTGAACACACAGATGCAGAGCGCTCAGACGAGGAGTACAGCGACACTGACGGCCTGCGCACATGCAGACTGCTGTATGAAGGTAACACACACACACACACACACTAAAACTCATACAGCTACACACATCACACACACTCACACTGACTCAAACATTCACTCTGCATGTGTGTGTCTATCTATCTGTGTGTGTGTGCTCAGTGATGGACAACAGCAGTAACTGGGCAGTGTGTGGGAAGAGTTCGGGTGTGGTCTCCATGCCGACGGCTGCCATGGCGACACATAAAGTGCAGATGGAGATCATGCCTCTGTTCGCCGGCTCGCTGCCGTTTCCCAGCATCCGTCTGTTCAGATACCTGCCGCACCAGGCCAACGCCAGCGTGCAGCCGGACTCAGGTCAGACACACACACACACACACACATGCACTCTTCAGTATTGTGCGCAGTGCTGCTGTTGATACTGTTCTAATTGTAATATTGAGTAATGTCGTGATATGCAGGGTTTGTGAAGTCACACAGCTCCAGATAACTGGAAACAGTGACTGATGATCTCTAGGGATTTACCGATTCACCTGACTCACAATGCGATACGATACGATACTGATCTCACGATACATGATTTAGTCACTAATAGAGATCGACAGACGCCTATTATGCTTTATAAAATGTCATATTCTGGTTTTGGGGTCTCCAGCATCAGGCTGATCTGCGTGCATGCTCTAAAAACACTCTCACTGTCTTATAATCTGCATTTATTTGACCGGATTATCCCATATGATTCCTTCAGCGATTCATTTGTTTCCAAACCCCTCCTCAGCACGAAGCTCATCTGCACTGATTGGACTGATGAGCCAGTCTATTGCGATTGGTCGACTGCATTCAGCACAGACAGAGGGAAACGCCCACCACAGCTACAGTATGCAGTAGCAGAGAGTATATGAGAGCCCAATGCAGGAGTGCAGTTAAACAGCAGCATATACTCTACTCTTAACCCAAACCCTGACAAACAACAGCGACACTCATTCAGTGTTAACACACACAGTGGCAAAAGCGAATTGTTCTGCGCAGGTGAGAAACAGGGTCACAACAGTGGAATGAACCGCCAACTTATCCAGCAAGTTTTTACGCAGCGGATGCCCTTCCAGCTGCAACCCATCTCTGGGAAACACCCACACACACATTCACACACACACACTCATACACTACGGACAATTTAGTCTAACCAATTCTCCTATAGTGCATGTGTTTGGACTGTGGGGGAGCACCCGGATGAAACCAACGCCAACACGGGGAGAACATGCAAACTCCACACAGAAACACCAACTGAGCCGAGGTTCGAACCAGCGACCTTCTTGCTGTGAGGCGACAGCACTACCTACTGCGCCACTGCCTGGCTCTAAAATAATAATAATAATAAAATAAAATAATAATGATAAAATAATAATAATAATAATAAAATAATAATAATAATAATAAAATAATAATAATAATAAATAAAATAATGATAATAAAATAATAATAATAATAAAAAAATAATAATAATAATAATAAAAAATAAAATAATGATAATAAAATAATAATAATAATAATAAAAAAATAATGATAATAAAATAATAATTATAATAATAAAATAAAATAATAATAATAAAATAATAATAATAAAATAATGATAATAAAATAATAATAAAATAATAATAATAATAATAAAATAAAATAATAATATTAAAATAATAATAATAAAATAAAATAATAATATAATAATAATAATAATAAAATAATAATAAAAACAATAATAATGTAATAATTTTTACAGTGGAGAACAGAAAAGATATCGTCTGATAGAAAAAATCTCACATTAACACATTAAAAATGATTCTTCAAGTTTACCATTCAGTCAAATGTACAATAATCTCATGTGCACTGCTTTTGGAATCTACAGATCAATCATCATACAGTCTTGATAAAACCACAAATCTTTGATAAAAGAACTTGTTTAAGTGGATGTATGCATGGAGAATATATTCTATGACAAAAATGAACCCATTTAACCAGCAATTATTATATCATTGAGTCAAATGAACAACAGTCTGATCTAGTGTTAATGTGAACAATGAGCCTGTCCCCTCTCTTCACAAGGGTGTTAAAGTCTGCAGTCAGCTTTGGCAAAAACTCGAGGCGCGCAGGGCGCATATAAGCAGCCTCACAGCCGGTACTAAACCATTCAAAAGAGCCGGCTCTTAACACATAAAGAGCGTTCAGTGTGATCGGCCCCCTAGTCTTTAAAAACAGCAACACTTTCTTGGCATATTACACTAGCGCTTTCTGTCTGATAGTATTGTGTTGGCCGTTGTTCCTGAATCAGCACATTCAGTCATTTTCTTGACTCATTTTCAGTCATTAACGCTCGAGTGCATTTAATATCTGAGAGTGTGTTCTAACTCTACCGGTGGGTCTAACTGTACCGTGTGCAACACTGCCATCACATGCCGTTCACTTGTATTGCATCAGTAATTGACTCATTCTGAAGCCTCTGGTGTCTGGCGGGCCGGATGAGTGTTCAGTGGGCTGTAGTTTGCCCACCTCTGATCTGACCTGTCTTCAGTGCTGTTCAGTTGGTGTGTGTGTGTTTAATATCGTGATGTAGATCTTACATTAATACTTAATGCTCTTAAAAGCTCTTAAAGTCTTCAGTTTGACATGATGACGTCTGCAGAGACCCTGCGTTTATTATCTCCGTGTCGTCAGCACTCTGGTCTGCTCCGTGTGAGCGTGTCCAGCAGGAGATTTACTACAGCAGTCAGTGTTAACAGCACTGTGCGGGCAGTAATGTGTGTGTGTGTGTGTGTGTGTGTGTGTCTCTGCAGACTCGTGTGTGGAGAGCGACAGTGTGTCGGTGGTGGAGCGCGGTGTGGAGGAGTGTGACTCTGCGAGTGTGCGCAGCCGCAGCAGTGTGTGCAGCAGCAGTGACGGGCCCCGGGGTCTCCCCATGCCCCGCCGGCAGGCTCTGGGCCCCGCTCAGGTGTTCAGCAGCACGCAGAGCCGACAGGTGAGGGTCCTGCCCGCCGCGGACCACCACCAGCTGGAGATCAACGTCACATGACCACACGCCCCGCCCTCTGTCTGCGCTCTGATTGGACGAGAGACGCGGCGGCTCACTCATGGACACCAGTGACTGGAGCCTTCATGTGACGACTCGCGCGCGCGCGCACACACACACACACACATCCCATAATGCCTTGCAGCCCCTCCTCCACACGCTCAGGTGTGTGTGTGTAAGAGAGTGTGTGATTGTGTCTGTGAGATGCATGAGTGTGTGTTACAGTAATAAATGTGTGTGATAATGTGTGCACAAGTGTGAGAGTGCTTATGTTTGTGCTCGTGTGTGTGTGTGTGTGTGTGTGTGTTGATCTGCTGTAGTATGAGTGTGTGTCTACTGTGCGTGGTTGTGTGCGTGTGTGTGTTTATCTGCTGTAGTGTGGTTGTGCGCGTGTGTGTTTGTGTGTGTGTGTGCATGTGTGGTTGTGTGTGTTCATGCTGTAGTGGGGTTGTATGTGTGTGTGTGTGTGTGTGTGTGTGTGGTGTGTGTGGTTGTGTTTGAATCTGCTGCAGTGTGGTTGTGTGTGTGTGTGTGTAAATCTGCTGTACTGGGTGTGCGTTTGTATGTGGTTGTGAGTGCGTGCGTGTTTGGTTGTGTGTGTGTGTGTGTGTTTGGTTGTGTGTGTGTGTGTGTGTTTGGTTGTGTGTGTGTGTGTGTGTGTGTTCATCTGCTGTAGTGTGTGTTTGGTTGTGTGTGTGTGTCTGTGTGTGTTCATCTGCTGTAGCGTGTGTGTGTGTGTGCGCGCCCCCTGCTGTTGATCGGTGGTCTGCAGGTCTGGTCTGAGCAGCTCCTCTGCTGAACACACAGTCGCTCTTCATCATCATCATCATCTTCCTCTCGCCGGGGATTCTGGGATTTGGATTAAAACTCTTTATTTTTATTTGGGAGCTGAAGGTTTCCAGGGAAACGCCATCACTGTGTGACTTCATTGGTGGACAGTGTGTTTGGACACGCCCCTTCCAGCTGACATCACATGATTGACGGCTCAGACAGGAAACGGCGGTGGCGTCTGATTCAGAGCTCATATTTCACTGCAGAGAGTCTGAGTCTGCATGATCAGCGGAGAACATCAGCGAGAGACGCCAGAGCTACTGACCCATCAGGTGACGGGGAATAACAGTGTCAAATGTTGAATAAATCATCGAGAGCCTTTACACTACTGCACAGCCGTAAATCTGGATCACAATGAAGATCTGCTCAGCAGCTCCACTGCCCAGATTATTGTCAGACTGTAGATGATGCTCACACAGGAACAGGCCATTACTTCATCATTATTCTGGAGCTTCAGACGAGACTCACGGCACAATCTGGGGGAAATATGAGCGCTGTGTGTGTGTGTGTGTGTGTGTGTGTGTGTGTTGTTGGTCCTGGTCTCGTGTGTGTTCTGTGTGTCCGGCCTGAGAAACATGCGTGTGTGTGTGTCGTCACATGATGATGCGGTCACGCGTGCGGAGCGTCGGCCTCTATTTATTGGTGGATTTCCTGCGGTTGTGGACTGGAGGAGCAGCGTCAGCAGCTGTGTGTAAATGACCGATCAACATCACAGATTGTATTTAGATTATTTAAATAAAGAATATGTACGCATTAAACTACGGCAAATATACAGATGTTTTAAAAAGAGCTCTGCTGTCTCCTTCTTCTCTCTTACAGCGCTTCTGGCTTCATAATAACTGGAGATGCCTCCATCAGTCAGGCTTCTCTAGCAGCTCGCCGACATCTTTATCAGACAGATCAGTTCAGTTAAATGAGTCTGAAACATGAAAACTAAAACTGCTCTATTCTGAATGCAGAGCAGCGCGACACCGCGGCCTGTTCCTGCTTCTGAAGTGTGCTTAACTGAGACCTGCTGCTGAAACGTACATACACACAGAGCTAATGTGGAGCATGACGACACGCTCCTGCAACACGGAACCCTTTACATGCAGAAACAGCTGATATGGAAACCCAGATGGGTCAAAAACTGGACCAACTTTCAACATGGAAAAGGAGATTTTTACTTTTAATTCACTAGTTTATGACCCGTCCGACTTTTCCATGTTAAAAGTTCAAATTTTTGAGTTTTTGAGCCGTCCGACTTTCCGTAAAAAAAACGACTTTTCCATGTTAAAAGTTCAAATTTTTGAGTTTTTGACCCGTCCGACTTTCCGTAAAAAAAACGACTTTTCCATGTTAAAAGTTCAAATTTTTGAGTTTTTGACCCGTCCGACTTTCCGTAAAAAAAACGACTTTTCCATGTTAAAAGTTCAAATTTTTGAGTTTATGACCCGTCCAACTTTCCGTAAAAAAAACGACTTTTCCATGTTAAAAGTTCAAATTTTTTGAGTTTTTGACCCGTTCGACTTTCCGTAAAAAAAACGACTTTTCCATGTTAAAAGTTCAAATTTTTTGAGTTTTTGACCCGTTCGACTTTCCGTAAAAAAAACGACTTTTCCATGTTAAAAGTTCAAATTTTTGAGTTTTTGACCCGTCCGACTTTCCGTAAAAAAAACGACTTTTCCATGTTAAAAGTTCAAATTTTTGAGTTTTTGACCCGTCCGACTTTCCGTAAAAAAAAACGACTTTTCCATGTTAAAAGTTCAAATTTTTTGAGTTTTTGACCCGTTCGACTTTCCGTAAAAAAAACGACTTTTCCATGTTAAAAGTTCAAATTTTTTGAGTTTTTGACCCGTCCGACTTTCCGTAAAAAAAACGACTTTTCCATGTTAAAAGTTCAAATTTTTGAGTTTTTGAGCTGTCCAACTTTCCGTAAATAAAACGACTTTTCCATGTTAAAAGTTCAAATTTTTGAGTTTATGACCCGTCCGACTTTCCGTAAAAAAAAACGACTTTTCCATGTTAAAAGTTCAAATTTTTGGGTTTTTGAGCCGTCCAACTTTCCGTAAATAAAACGACTTTTCCATGTTAAAAGTTCAAATTTTTGAGTTTTTGACCCGTTCGACATTATGTAAAAAAAACTACTTTTCCATGTTAAAAGTTCAAATTTTTTGAGTTTTTGACCCGTTCGACTTTCCGTAAAAAAAAACGACTTTTCCATGTTAAAAGATCAAATTTTTGAGTTTATGACCCGTCCGACTTTCCGTAAAAAAAAAACGACTTTTCCATGTTAAAAGTTCAAATTTTTTGACCCGTTCGACTTTCCGTAAAAAAAAACGACTTTTCCATGTTAAAAGTTCAAATTTTTTGAGTTTTTGACCCGTCCGACTTTCCGTAAAAAAAACGACTTTTCCATGTTAAAAGTTCAAATTTTTTGAGTTTTTGACCCGTTCGACTTTCCGTAAAAAAAACGACTTTTCCATGTTAAAAGTTCAAATTTTTTGAGTTTTTGACCCGTTCGACTTTCCGTAAAAAAAACGACTTTTCCATGTTAAAAGTTCAAATTTTTGAGTTTTTGACCCGTCCGACTTTCCGTAAAAAAAACGACTTTTCCATGTTAAAAGTTCAAATTTTTGAGTTTTTGACCCGTCCGACTTTCCGTAAAAAAAACGACTTTTCCATGTTAAAAGTTCAAATTTTTGAGTTTTTGACCCGTCCGACTTTCCGTAAAAAAAAACGACTTTTCCATGTTAAAAGTTCAAATTTTTTGAGTTTTTGACCCGTCCGACTTTCCGTAAATAAAACGACTATTCCATGTTAAAAGTTCAAATTTTTGAGTTTATGACCCGTTCGACTTTCCGTAAAAAAAAACGACTTTTCCATGTTAAAAGTTCAAATTTTTGGGTTTTTGAGCCGTCCAACTTTCCGTAAATAAAACGACTTTTCCATGTTAAAAGTTCAAATTTTTGAGTTTTTGACCCGTTCGACTTTCCGTAAAAAAAAACGACTTTTCCATGTTAAAAGTTCAAATTTTTGGGTTTTTGAGCCGTCCAACTTTCCGTAAATAAAACGACTTTTCCATGTTAAAAGTTCAAATTTTTGAGTTTTTGACCCGTTCGACATTATGTAAAAAAAACGACTTTTCCATGTTAAAAGATCAAATTTTTGAGTTTATGACCCGTCCGACTTTCCGTAAAAAAAAACGACTTTTCCATGTTAAAAGTTCAAATTTTTTGACCCGTTCGACTTTCCGTAAAAAAAACACGACTTTTCCATGTTAAAAGTTCAAATTTTTTGAGTTTTTTACCCGTTCGACTTTCCGTAAAAAAAACGACTTTTCCATGTTAAAAGTTCAAATTTTTGAGTTTTTGAGCCGTCCAACTTTCCGTAAATAAAACGACTTTTCCATGTTAAAAGTTCAAATTTTTGAGTTTTTGAGCCGTCCTGCTTTCCGTAAAAAAAAAAAAAAAAAAACGACTTTTCCATGTTAAAAGTAAAAAAAAAAAAAAATCGGGTCAAAAACTTAAAAATTTGAACTTTTTATCGTGGAAAAGTTTATGGCAAAAAATTGGTGCATATTGTAAACATAAACCACATTATTCATGTAGTTTTATGCAAACACACACAAAAACCCTAATATGTGTACGACTTTGAGTTTATCAACGTTGCAAACCGCGCAACAAATGTAAGAATGAAGTTACGGAATGTGTTAAAGTAACGCAAGATTGTAGTGGGTTTCTTTAAAAGTAACTTTCCTGCAATTCTCACATGCACATCAGAGGAAAACAGTCTGATGACAAAATGCCGAAACACAGCAGTGATTAGCACCGTTTATTAAAGTGTGCAACAACAGAAAACCAGTGAGCAGTGAAGGCAGCACTGCCATAAAAACATCATAAATAAAAGCACTAAATAAAGGTCAATACAAATGGGATGGAGCTCCGTGTGTCGGCGTTTTCTTCTTGGAGACGCGGCAGATTTTTGGCACCAGTTTCCACTTTTCCTCAGTGGATGGAGATAACCGCTTCCTGTCAGCTGACCTCTGCTGCATCCTGCACACACACACATGTTTTTGCAGTGATTAATACTCGATACCATGATGAAAGCTTCAGGAATGATCTTGATATGGACCTGTAGTGCCAAATAAGTTTACACACATCACCTTTACATAACTGCTTTACCACAAAACTCTAATCTAATCAGGACAGACTGTATATCGATGTAAATAATATTTTACCACCGTTGTTTGTTGTTATGTGAGAAGAGTAAAATATTAAAACACATTTACTGTCCCTCTACAGCCTGTGAGAGTGTTTATGATACTCATAAAGCATAATATTACAGTCTAAACAAAGCATTAATGAAAAACTAAATCATACAAAAGCCTAAAATGTAGATTCCACATGTGCTTGGACAGATATAGCTCAGCAACTTTTATTTATTCATTTACATTAGGTAAACTCAGAGTGGTAGAGCATTACTTTGCTACAGCAATCCACACGTAAACACTTAAATGCTTTTTAGCGGATAAATTCAGCTCAAATATCACCAAATGATCTTTAAAAGCACCGTCTACATCATCTAAGATTACTAAATGCTTGTGTAGTCGTCATTACACTGACTTTATTTAAATGAATTGTTAATAAATGAACCTTTTCTGTGAACAGTTCATGAACAAAAGCAATAAAGTAATCTTGTTTAATGTCAGGCCAGATTAATGTCTAAATGTTGTGTGAATAAATCAGCTGTTACGCATATTGCAGTGCTCGTGATGTCAGCACTGTGCATGTTGATCATCAGGATATGCTGATTATTGAATATGAGATATACAGATATATATATTGAGACTCACAGGAGCAGTTTCTTGCGCTCCAGGGCTTTTCTGGTGGCGTCAGACAGAGACAGCTTCCCTTTGGGCTGAAACACAGATAATCCCCATGACTGAACACAAACACACAATTCAACAAAAGACAAAAACTCTCCAGAATTAATCTATGCCCACCTATAATTATAGAAATATATATATCTATTATAGCTGGGCATAGATTCATTTCTTTACTCTACATTAATCTCGGAATTATCTACATTAATCTACATTAATCTTTGAGTCTTTCTCCAGCCAGGTGGCGCATTAGAGCAGGGGCTCATCTCCTGTTTCAGAAATGCATCACAAACTGCTTGAGAAACTGATAACTGGTGATGAAAATAAATGATGTTCAATAAGATGTGCTGGTGTGCGTATCCTAATATAACTCATGTTTACATTTATAAACTGCATGACACTGCGTGGCGCAGCACATCCGCCGTGTGACCCCCTTTATGATGGTCTTGCTGTGGACATTTTGCATCCTTGTTGGAACTCACACAGCTAACGGGCAAAGAGTAATGTTAATCTGGCAAACTGAACGCATCCTGTACTGTTCAGGAGACCTGGATTAACACTGCTCTACAGCCAATCAGGACACAGAACACAGAGAACTGCAAAAAAAGCGTCAAATTACAGTAAAAACCACGGTGAAAGATGAAGCTCGATGGCGAAAAATTAGATTATCTAAATCTGCTTGATGATTTGAAAACTGAAAGCAGCGCCGTCGATTGGTGTTTCTGCGTAAGATACACCTTTGTGAATGTTTTATTGACATGACATGTAAAGTCTTTAATCTGCTTTTAGTCATTTTATTTTATTTAAAGCAGCACTCAGACATGAATTTCCCCTCGGAAGTGTGGCATGAGAGCGGTGCATGTGCTGGATAACGGCTGTTTTTGCTGTGCACGATCAATTCCTGATCCTTTGCATGAAGCTTTCAATCAAAAGACACGTCATTTAAATTACTTTCGATGTGCTAAAATATTTGTTAAACGAATGTAATTTTAAAGAAGCATATATACATGTTAAAACTGTAAAACAGAATGAAGTGCACGGTCTAATCTGAAATAATTTAGAATTTGTATAAATTGAGTTTAATTGATGTAAAACTTTTAATTACATTTTCTTTTCTTGTAAATAATAAAAGTTGCATCAGATTGATGAAAACGACGTCAATACCAGCTTGAACAGGGCCACAATGGGCTTTTTTCTTCATTAAAACAGTATAATACAGCCTCTTCTGTCTATGACAGACAAACGGTTCAGAAAAAATCGGCTGAATCTCCATGAATATTTGGTCAACTAATAAAACAGTTTAGTGATGTTAGTAATGCATAGAAAAACGCAAAGCAGAACTCTCCTGAGCTCATTAACCCACTCATGACAGACACTTTGTGGTGGCTTTTAAGGTGGTCATGAGGTTTGTTGTGTTATCTTGGAAAGTTTGGACTGAACAGGAGCAAAGGCAACCTGACCAACACTGCATTCCTCCAATAAACACTTGCAGTCTAGACACAGCCACCGCATGCTTGTGATGCTTGAACTCCGGCCATTAAAATTACAGCTTAATGTTTATACAGTAAAATGGCGACGGTATTTAATTATTGATCGTGGGCTACAGATATCGTTACCGTGATCATAATACCATTAATTGTGCAGCTCACGTATTTCACTTTAAAGGCAATGAAAGAACTCATCATCACTATAAAACCCCATTCCAGCCTACAGACAAGAGGAAACACCAAATGGCATTCATCTGAACTCTGGAGTTCTGGATCATCAAATCAGCATGTCAGAGTGGTTTCTGAAGGATCATGTGACTGAAGAAACAATGCTAAAGTTCAGAGGAAGAAACGAGATTTGAACATATATCGACAGAGAAATCCCTCATTTAAGAGTTGAACTCTGTCAGATCTGTGCAGTCTTTGCTGTACAGAAGAGACGTCACACTGTGTGTGTGAGTGTGTGTGTGTGTGACTAATATCACAGTAGTTCATGTAGAAGACAGATGCAGTAGATGCAGCGCTCACATGCGTGTGTGTTCTGCGCTCTCGCCTCAGCTCTCGGTCCTGTCGGATCATCTGCATCTGTTCACAAGAGCTGGAGATGAACATCAGCTGGTGGAGCTCCAGACGAGCAGAACGCAGCTACACACACACACACACACAGAGAGAGAGAGAGAGAGAGAGAGAGAGGGGGACACCATCAATTTGTGTATGTGCATGTGTGTGGGTTCTTACATGTGTGTGTGTGTGTGTGTGTGTGGTCTCTGACCTGCAGTGTGACGCGCTCTTGCAGCATCACATCATTCCTGCAGCTGACAGACGACTGGAACGACTGCAGGAACATCTGTGTGTCCTGAACACAACAACACACACATCAACATCTGTGCACACAACACAACATGCAGCACAGGCTGTGAATAACAGCTAATAAAGTTAATAACGAAGTAAATCACGGTTATTTAGTTGCACAGAGTGATTGTCTGAGTATGATTGACATGTGTGTGTTTCCTCAGCCATGACATGAGCTGCACTCGCCAGTTTAGTCGTCAGTGCTGATGAATCTAATGTCTCTGCACTAATACATCACTGTAGAGCGTTATATCAAATAAAAGTGTCAAATAAAGATGAAGACAAAATCAAGCATCATCATCATCATCTGTGTTTGAGCATCAGTGGAGTGATGATGATGTGTGAAGAGCAGCAGCAGATCCACCTTGATGGTCCTGATGATGTGAGAGACGCGTTCAGTGCGCAGGAGACGACGAGTCAGAAAACCCTTCACCACTGCAGCCAGACACAACACCTGCGCGCACACACACACACACACACACACACACACACACACACACACACACACACACACACACACACTCGTCATTAATAACACACACATCACCACTGCGGCCAGTAGAGGGAGACACAACATCTGCATATATTCACACGGAAAACAAAACCTCATGGCCACAACCCACACACACACACACACACACATTTAATAACAAACACACAACGATTAATAACACACACACATACACACAGACTAATAACACACATATACTTCACTGCTGTTGCCAGTAGAGGGAGACACAACACATGCACACACACACAGACATTTAATAACAGACACAAACACACACACACACACAGGATAAATAACACACACATGCACACACACACAGACATTTAATAACAGACACAAACACACACACACACACACAGGATAAATAACACACACATGCACACACACACAGACATTTAATAACAGACACACACACACACACACGCACACACAGGATAAATAACACACACATGCACACACACTTCACCTTTGCAGCCAGCAGAGGGAGCCACAACATCTGTACATGCACACAGCCAGACACACACACACACACACACAAATTTGTGCACATCTGTGAATGTTGCTCATCGTGTGAGTGTGTGAGACTGAGTGTTACCATCTGTGAGCTCAGTGTGTGTTGTTCATCAGGTGTGTGCAATTAATCAGGTGTGTGTGTGTGTGTTACATGCACATCTATGAGCTCAGTGTGTGTGTGTGTTGTTCATCAGGTGTGTGCTATTAATCAGGTGAGTGTGTGCTGTTCATCAGGTGTGTGTGTGTGTGTTACCTGGGCGTCTGTGAGCTCAGTGTGTGTGCAGACAGATGAGGCGAGGATGGAGGTCGGCGTGTCCTCCAGACGTGAGGCTGCACTGGGACACGGGAAGGACACACTCCGCAGAAACTGGTACCGCACCGCTAGAGACTGACACACACACACACACACACACACACACACACACACGCACACACACACACACACACATAAATCCAGCAGAAATAATAGAATCAGCTCAGCTAAAACAGGTTCATCTTAGATGGAAACAGAGAGCAGAGCAGACAGATTCAGCACAGTCTTCTAGATGTGAAAATAAAGCTCTGCTCTACAAGACGACTCTGATCTGATGAACAGTCAAAACACAAAATACAGCAACAATTAAGAACTGTGTTATATTCAAACAGCTCTTATATATTTTAAAGAGAGAGAGAGAGGGTTCAATAAAAGGTCACATGAAGGTGAAGAGATCTGCTTATATTTATATAAATGTTCATTCATTTTCTTTCAGCTTCGTCTCTTTATTCATCAGGGGTCGCCACAGCGGAATGAACCACCAACTATTCCAGTATGTTTTACACAGCGGATGCCCTTCCATTTTTAAGCATGAGGCCGAGGCTCTTTCACACTTTTAAAAGCATAAATGAATCTACTACACTTTAATAAATCAAGAACACCATCACATGCTGCAAACGCCACATCACATGACTTTACTGATTTCAATGTGAAAATGAGCTCTGCAGAGGAATGAGAGTGTCAAACTGATATATCAGAAACAGCTTCAGTTTCTCACAGCTGAACAACAGAAAACGGAGAATGTTCAGGTTCAGCTCATGTGCTGTATTCAGTGTTAAATGCTGATGATGTGAGTCTGACAGGACATTTATCAGCACACTACTGACAGCAGCAGCAGACAGTTCAGCTCAGATCTGGAGAATACAATAAAGCATCTGACACTGAACTTCAGAACTGCAAACCAACACATATCAGTGATCCAGCATCTACATTTAATCATGTTAAGAGCTTTAATCTGTGTTCATTAGAGTATAAAGCTCAGTGTTGTGCTGGAGTGCAGTGAGTGCTCTATTCTGTGTTTCTGAATGTCTGTGTTTACATTTCTGTCCTGTTTCTCCTGCTGCAAACAGCCAAACTGCTCATCACTGCGTATCTCATCATGTAGCGTGTTGTTAGGACACGGGGTTACAATGTGACCTGCTCACCTAATGTTCACACTCCTGATATTTATATTATCAGCTAATTAATCACCTCATGTGGAACTCTGAATCTGCGTCTCACTACAGAGTCTGCTACTGTCCACCAGAGGGCGCATTTCAGTCACAGACGCATGCTTTGAGAGTCTTCCTGACTGAATGAATGATATGCGCTGTTTTCCACCATCTGGCAACCCGCAGTGCTGAAATATAATTGGCTGAACTGGCATTGGGCGGGTTAAAGAGACCAAAACAAAGACAGCCGCTCCGGCACGTAACACACATGACCACAGCAGAATATCTGACTTCAGCATTGAGTCTCAGATAAACAAGCATGTTCACTGAGCATGTTTCTGAATATCTGCACAGATGATGCTCAGACTCTTCATATCAGCGAATGAATGAATTCTCTAAGTGAACACACACACACACACACACACACACACACAGGCTCATGTAAAACAGTGTGTGTTCATTAAAGCCTCGAGAGCGCATACATTACACACAGTAATTAATGACTTCGGGACACCGGCGGCTACAGGACCTGAAGGAGACACTCTTGAGGACGCTCTCTACAGTAGCCAGCAATGAAACAATATTCATATTTATTTCTGCCGAGTCCAAGGAGAGTCTGACCGGATAATGAATCATTACTGACCCCAACCAATCACTATCTTTAATCAGGGATATATTTAAAGGGACAGCTCCCCCAAAATTACAATTCTGCCATCATTTACTCTCTGCTAGATTGTTCCAAACCTGTCTGAGTTTCTTTCTCATGTTGAACACTAAAGTAGATATTATGAAGAATGCAGGAAACCAGTGACTTTCATAGTATGTTTATTTGTGAATTGAGTATTCAAATTTATTAAAAATAAAAATACCAGGCTAAAAAATATGCAAGTAGTGTGTGTGTATGTGTGTGTGTGTGTGTGTGTGTGTGTGTGTGTGTGTGTGTGTGTGTGTGTGTGTGTGTTTCCGAAGAGCACAAATGAAGCTACAAGTGGGCGGGGCAAACCATAGCTAATTTGTCCACGCATCAATCAGGGGTAACCGAAAATGGACAAAGAGGCGGGGCATGGGCAGAGCTAGAGAATTCAAGTTTTAAATAAAATTATAAATAATCAATAAATGATCTAAAATAAAACAAATACATTTATACTGTAGATAACATGACGTAAGAATTTCACTCACTAAGAAAATAGAAGTCAGACTTGAATAGTTTGTGAGCACAGTTACGAGCACAGCATGCCATTTCATCTGATAATTGTAAGATATAATCTCAAATGGCATTAGACTGTGTAAAGCCACATAAAACAAAACCTCAAATATGATATATACAGCAAGTTCAGCAGCTAGAATGAGTGAACCAGGCTGTAAAACATTTTAACATTGAACTCAATGGAAGAGTGCTCTGTTTTGATGCCAGCCCCCAGTGGCCAGTTGATGAATTGCAGTTTCAATAATTCCTCTATTAGCTTCACAAGGCAGAGTGAAGGGTTGCTGCTTGCACCCTCTTGTGGGCACTGCAGGTAATACAGCACTTTTTTCTGTAATATTAATTACCGCCTTTGTAATTTTAACATAATTTCAGCTTTGTATATATTAAAAAGAAATTAAAATTTGAGTTTTCAGCCATATTGACAACCTTTGTAAGTACTTCAGGGTGATTAAGCTTTTATTTTTATGGGAACTATCCACATTTCCACTTTTAAAGGAACAGTTCACCAAAACACTAATTTGCTCATTTATTTATGTGCTTCCAAGCTAGTTTGCACTAATTAAACGGTACATTGATGCTCACCTGCAGTAGTTCCTGCTGCTGTCTGCGCTCTTCCTCCATCAGAAATGTGACGTGGTCCTCCTGCGTCTGCAGAACTGCTGAATAGAGGAAGAAGAGAGCGCTTCATCACTGAACATCACATACAGCTGCATGTCTTCAGTTCCGTCAGTGATCCACATCAGAACCAAACAGATTATCAAAAGAAAACATCTCGTGTGGAGTTTGATTTTAGAGTCAGCTGTTGATTGGAAGCTGTAAAGTGGGTGTGACTTTTGCAAGTCTAAATGCTTAAATAATTCTGATGTCATCAATTAATTTTATTGAATGCTGGATTCTGATTGGCTGATGGTCACTCTCAGGTGTTAGAATATTGTCAGATAAAGGCACAGCTAAAGTAGTTCCGGCAGGTTTAGAGTGCATTACAGCTCTATATCACTCCGCTGAATGATCAGAGTTATTACACAGCTACAACAGTCAGACATCACATCAGAACACAACAGTAGGCTGTAATATTTCAGTGATCATCATATGGCACTGCTGTACCTGTGCTCGGGCTGCAGTGCGTCTCCTCATTCATCAGCAGCCTCCGCTTGACCCGGGACACGCCCTCATGACCTCCGACCTCAGGGGTCAGCTGACTCCACAAGCTGGAGGGGGCGTCGACATCATAAGACGAGCCAATCAGAGAGCTCCCTTCACCATCAGCATGTGTTCTCTGATTACTGTTATCAGTGAGGACGCCCACAGGCGAGGTCTGCTTCTCAATCCCACAATCCCCTGCGATGACCTCCTGCTGGACTGCTCCACCGAACGTGACGATTCGTTTGACGCAGTTATGAGCCGGGCTATCTGATTGGTCGGCGTGCGAGAGCGTGAGTGTGGACTCCAGGTCTGAGATCAGTGTTTTGAGGCTGGACAGGTTGAGCTCCAGCTGAGTGATCTGCTGTGTCTGCATTAATCCTCCATCATTCACTGATCTCAGATCAGATCTGCTCAAAGCTTTCTGAACGCGAGCAGAAGCCCCGCCTCCTTTCTTACAGCGCACCGGGCTCGAGCAGAACTGCGGCGTGGGGATATTTGCATACTTATCATCCACTGCTAAGTGCGATCTGGACACACTGAGCGGCTTCATTCTGGAGCCATACAGAGGTTTAGCTGGAACAGGAAGTGCAGTAAACACAGCGCTGATGTCTTCATGATTAGCGGTGTGTGTGTTGGTTTGGTTGAAGACGTCTGTGTGTATAAGATCTGCTTTCTCCTTCTTCTTCTCTCTGGCTTTCCTGAGCTCCGTCTTCCAGATGTGTTTGGGAAGCTCCTCGTTCTCTTTGTCTGACAGGCTGTGCTCGTCTGCGGACGGCTTCAGCGCTTTAGCTTGCGTGCGCAGGAGACGCTGCCGCCGCCGGTACTCTTGGGATTTCTTCAGGAGGTTTTGAAGACTCATGCGATACGGGCCTTCATCAGCGTCTGTAAGGTCATCGGCCATTTTTAGTGGTGAAACCTCATCAGCTTCCGCTTCTAGGATTGCTCCATCTACTGGAGCGTGGCTGATGATGTCACTTCCTGTGGCAGTCAGCTGGGAGCGAACAGCGGCTGCCTCCATCCAGCTGAGGTCTGTGTTGTCATTGGTTACGTACCCTGATGACATCATCGCCGTCTGGCTGTCAAGCGCATCATGTGACCTGTCGTTCTTGTGACCGACGCCCTCAAACAGGACCGTGATCTGGGTGCTGT